CCCAGGGCGGAGCTCAGTAGTAGAGCACTTGTTTAGCGTGTGAAAGGCTCTGGGTTCAATCTCCAACACCACCAAAAAAGAATATGAACTGGAGATGATTCTCCAATTCCCCTCAAAGATAACCTCACAGTTTAAAAGAATAATTGCTGATTAAGAGAGGGGCAACAGCGTTGAGAAGCACCAACTCCTGAAGCTAGGAGGATGAAGGTCAGGGAAAAAATTCCCATTACTTCTTCATCGAAAAAAAATAATAATAATGTTTATCACCAACCTGGTATACTCTCTTGAAGAACATACTTGTGGAACTCTTTTGCATGTTTTATTTCACTTAGGCTAAGGTAAAACCTTTTGTGCCAATGCCTATAGTTCTAGCTGCTTGGGAGGCTGAGGATGGCTTGAGCCCAGGAAGTTAGTGGCCAGCCTGAAATTGTCAACACAGAAATTGTCACAAAAACAAACAAAACTTTTGCTATAACAATGTCCAGATCTTTCTGAGGGAATCTTCAATGTGCTAGCAGATCAGCTGAGCGCATTCAATGATACTGATTCTTAGTGGTTTTCAACGTATTTCCATTTACCTATTCAGAATTCCAGGAAACAAAAGAATAGCAAAGCACCTCTGGAATAATATAGAAGGGACAGAAAAAGACAGTGCAAATATTTTGTATCCTTCTCACAGAGTATGATATTCAAAGTGCACAGCTAATTATTGATGAAACCAAAGTAATAAACTTTGTCTAACATGACTGGCTAAAGACCCGGGAGAGGAATCCATTAAAAAAATTAAGTGTAGGTTTTACTAAAATACAGTACTTTTCAGTAACTGACCCTAGCATAAGAAGCTAAAAACTTAGTTTATAGAATTTTTGTTTGTGTAAAAGAAAATTTGGTGATTTACTATTTTCAAATGTACGTGATGTTGGTACTCTAAATATTAGAGACATGTCAAAAGAGAAGCTTGATGTACAATGAATTTTTGTACTTGGAAATACAAAATCTGTTGTTGCTACTAATTTTAAATTAATTAAGAATTATGTTCTCTTTATCTCAGCCTCTCTCTCTGGTTTTCCTGTCCAAAAGAAATGCTCGTGAGCTGTAGAGGTTTAGAACAGGTTAGCCCCGACAAAAATAACTGCTTCAATAAACGGGGAAAATTCTGTGGAAATTTCTTACATTTGACGTTGCTAAACTTAAGCACAATAATGTCACATGCACTTATTCAGTAATTGTAGGCACGCCTAAGTCCCTCCCTCTTTCCTAAACCAATTTCCCCACATCCTAGAAATCCAGCCCTTCTGCCCTCCGGAGGCGCCTTTCCCAACGTAAAGTACAATTTTAAAATTAAGCTCTTGTCTAAAATAATGATCCGCAGCCAATTGCCTGGGAATCTGGGCACCCCAGAGCCTCTGGAGGGTGCAGCGGGGTGTGGGCAAGGGCAGGGGGAGTGGGCGAAGCTGCTGGTTGGTGCCTGAAATCTGTGCGTTGCCCCTTTAATTGTGTCCCCAGCCCTCGGGCGTTTCTGTCCAACGCCCACGTCAGCAAATACCTTTTGTTTCTCTCACGTTGGGGCTACTTGTTTTAGGGCGCAAAGGAACGGCTTCGGAAGGGGGTCTTTCCCCCGCCGAGAACCAG